CTCCATAGGCGTAATGGTTTTTATACTGTACAAACCGTATTTTCTATTGCCCTACACCAACCCTACCCCAAACCTACCCCTCACAGGAAACTTTCTGCATTTTAGATTTTCCAAAAAACTCATTCTGAATTATTTATAAGCCTTTTGAATTACAGGGACACTGACAATGTCCTCATAAATCACCTTCTCGTTGTAATACCTATGTCATACCCCTCAATAGACGTAATAGTTTATATACTGTACAAACTGTATTTTCTATCCCCTTACCTTAAACCTATCCCTCACACAAAACTTTCTGCATTTTTAGATTTTCAAAAAAAAAACGGTTTAATATGTTTAAGCCATTTGGTTTATGAGGACACAGGAAGTGTTTACGTTGTAGTATCCATGTCATTATACACATTTGTGTCCTCAAAAACCGTATATGCCAGAACACACACACACACACACATACACATACACACACACACACAGAGGAACCTTTTTTGATGTCTTTTAAGTCATTTTGTTAGCTGCTGTATATTATGTTTTAAGTTCAAACATTGAGTTCTAATTGGATGTTCTGCATTTGCCACTGTAAAATAAACGCACATCTGTGAGTGCACATCAGTTCAATTCTATTTCAGTACACCAGTTCGCTACATTGCTTGGCAACAGTAACTGCCTACAGTTATGCTAATGAACTATATCACTTTTTATGGAGGAATTATTTAAAAAAAAATATTATTGTTAATAACTTTTTTTAATTCACCATTGGTTTTTATCATGTTCTGCTATACTGATTTTACCGTAACCATAGTAAAATTGCTATAACTCACATATAGAATATTGCTATATTATACTTTAATGTTGCATTTTAAGACTTTTGGGTTCCACAAAAAAACTTTCAGTAAACAGTTCTTAAAAGAAACCTTTTGTTTGTTTGTTTGTTTTATGCAGTGGAAAGGTTCCATGGAAGATAAAGGTTCTTCATGGAACCACAGATGCAAATAAAGACATTATTTTAACAGCAACAACAAAGAATCCTAGTAGTTGACACACAAAATGATGACAAAACTCACCCAGCATTTAGTGCTGACCACTTGTAATCACCAAAAACACATCTTTATCGAAACAGAAAAAAGGAGGAAACAGTACTTTCTTTTTTTTAGCTGATAAGAACTTTTAGCCAATCAGAAACATCTCTGCCTGTCAGTCATTTTGCATGTTCAGGAATGCTGATGTTGGGTTTCAAATCTACATTTGTCAACTGTTACAAAAGTGTTACTGAAAGTGTTACTCATCTTTCTTGGCTCCACAGGTGAAGAAGCTGATTGTCCAGGATCCAAAGAAACGGCTGACGACACAGCAGGCGCTGCAGCACCACTGGGTGACTGGAAAGGCTGTTAACTTCACCCATATGGACACGGCTCAGAAGAAACTCCAGGAGTTTAATGCTCGAAGAAAACTCAAGGTTTGAGGATTTTGGCTAAATGGCACATTTTCATGAAGGTTTTAACCCTGTAAAGCCTACTGTATTATATTTGATAAACAAATTTCTAAGGCCTCTGTTATTAAAGGGGTCATATGATGCTTTTTTAAAGATCATTATTTTGTGTATTTGGTGTAACAGAATATGTTGACATGCTTTAATGTTCAAAAAACACATTATTTTTCAAATACTGTACATTATTGTAGGTCCTCTATGCCCCGCCTCTCTCAGACGCTTCGTTTTCTACAAAGTCCCTTTTCGCCTAGAAACACACCGTCTCCCTGACATGGCTGCTTCAACAGTAACTGCGGTTACTGAAACCGCGCCTTCTTTCTTTGTGTGAACATTTGGGCGCATTATGCAAATATTCCCACATAGTGACCTAGATATGTGGGGGCGTGTTAGAACGAGCCGTTTTAGGGGGGTGTGGCAGAGTCTTAACTTTGATAAAGAATATCTCTTTGGTTTTGAGACTTTAGTCTTTGCAACTTCAGGGATCTTATCTATTCACGAACAGCTTGTAACACTCCAAAGAGAAAGGAAAACTTGAAATCGCATCATATGACCCCTTTAATGAAGATGATTGTCTGAGTCCCCCCTCTGGTCTAGTGCACTGAAATCTTCACAGAATTTTATAAAGTAAATGTAAGAATTAATTTTACTAGTGATATTTCAAGATGAACACTTACTGCACTGAAGAAGGCTTTCTTGATTTTTAGAAAAATCATGTTAAAATGTGAGTGGGCTTCTGTGGAACGTTTATTTGTACATCTCTCAATCATCATTGTATTGCATTTCATTATATACCTTTGCCCCCACAATAAAAAACTACAGAGCTTTAATCATAAAACTAAGCATTTAAATATCATCTTACTAAGACATATTATTGGGAGATATAGAGTGACAATTGATATTTCGATGCATTTTATGTAAGTAGTCTGCTATATTTTTATAAAGATTTCATTGATTTACATTTTTAGAACTTCTAGGATTTCATCTTATTTTTTGGCCATATAAATATCAGCAACTGCACCAAATTGCATATTTTTGCTCAGTTTGGCCTGAATAAAATTGAGGTGTTTTTTCCTCAAGTGTGAGCTCTATATTTTCCTATATCAAACTATATGAATCATGAAGGCCTGATGTATCAAATATGATGCTCATCAAAAAACACATATGGAAACTGTTTTAAAGGGGTCATATGATGCGATTTCAATTTTTCCTTTCTCTTTGGAGTGTTACAAGCTCTTGGTGCATAAAGAAGATCTGTAAAGTTGCAAAGACTAAAGTCTCAAATCCAAAGAGATATTCTTTATAAAAGTTAAGAGTCAACCACGCCTACCTA